AAAATTAATGTCTGCTTGTGCCTAAAATTGTTACCTAATTTTGCATGCGATCGTAACCCGAAACCTTCCCGAGGTCCACACATGTACTACGCATTTCCATGCACGAACATACTTTCTGGGAACTATTAAGCTCATGCTAAAACATCAAAATCCATGTTATCCGCCAACCGCACCGAAATGGAAGTGCGTGTGTTTGACTGTATATGAAAGCTCCGTTGCACATCTGCACAGATATTGGGATGACTGCAGCAATGCCGCGTGTGATTGCCTGCTTGTATGTGGGGCTTCCACCTAGGTTGTCCGCTTTTGCCTTTTGCAGACCCAAGCTTGTATCCATAGTATTTCGGAATTGCTCGTAAATATACATATTCTATTTTTGAGTATAGGTTAACAAATACATATGATTTATATACTGATACCAATGCATGTATGTAAGCCTCATTTGTTCTCGCCTCGTTGTTCAGGAAATTGGGATGTTCTAAATTGAAGAATCGGTTGCGAGAATTGGCGCAGACTGAAATCAGTGGGGTAGGACATGAACCAATGAAATTGGCTCAGAAGGTATTGGTTTTAGCATCGACATGTCGTTTCGCATTTTGAGTGTGTGCAATTGTAGTTGAATAAAAACAAATATGTGTTTCTTTCCACGTTTATATATACATACAAACAATTCAACGTATTTTGTATCGGTGGTTGAACTATTTATCACCTCGATTTACAATGAGTTAGAGTACTTGGGGGGCTTTTCGAGTTTGATTCCTCTCTTTAAGAACTTTTTGGGCGGAGTTCGTTCCAAAATTTTGTATAGGTTGAGCTTATATTTAGACTACACATTATATTGACATGGTAGGTCTATCTGCTCCCAAGATGTAAAAACACAGACTACATAATTTGGGCGGTGAGCCCCTACATTTGCGATTCAATCATACATTAATTTCTATCGTTTACTACCCTAACTTTATATAGCGCCAAACAAGGTTTTAACTTCGCTTGGGGGTTTTTTTGGTTTTCTTTTTTGCATAGGTTTTGATGAATATGCGTGCGGTGCTGATGGAGGCGCAGAAACTCAAACCAACTGAGCGTCACTACGTTGTCGCGGACATTCTGTTTCTCATCGCTAATACGGAGACATACTTCACAAAGAACGAGTATGTCATATTATTATATTGTAGTGGTGATCAGAAGCAGTGCTAAGCTTCCGTGAATCGCTGCCGATGGCATAGGTATTATAGAGGGTAATTCGGCCGGAATGGTGAAGTGTGGTAGATGCTTGCCACACAAAGCGTGTGTTTAAAACCACGGCCTGATTTCTAAGCTAGATATCTTAATATTCATTCTATGGCTGTTGTACCAATCCTATGGACCTGGAATGGGTGTGTCGATTTCCGATCTATACTGGTCGCCAATTTCCAAACAGTTTACATTTCTGAACCTCATGCCTTCATTCTTCTTCTATTATCAACAGATATAAAAACATAGTATCGGATACAGTCGAGATCACTGCTGCAGATGTGGGGGCAGTATCACGCCCTAAGCAGCCCATTAAGGGTAAAAAATACAACAATCAGCACATCTGGGGACAGCTACATTTCTGGGATAGGCAAACCATCAATGAACCAGATCAGGTGCGTATTGTCGTAAAATATA